TAATGCTTAGGGGGGGAAAAAGGGTTTTTTTAAAATTCAATCGCATGAACGTGGTTGCTGACTGCCTTGGCAACAAGCAGCCAAGCGCACTCCTCGTGCCTGCCCTGACCTCATAAGGGTTACTCTGACATAACCTACAGCAGAGTATCTCTGCAGCCATCATAATAACCATTTACCCCCATCACAGAGTCACAGAATCATAGAGTACCTTGGGTTGGAAGGGACTACTAAAGATCATCTAATCCAACCCCTCCTGTAATGAGCAGGAGCATCTTCAATTAGCTCAGGTTGCTCAGAGCCCCATCCAGTCTGAACTTGAATGTTTTCAGGGATAGGGCATTTCTGGGCAACTTGTTCCAGTGCCTCACCACTCTCATAGGGAATAATTTCTTCCTAATATCCAATCTAAATCTTCCCTCTTTCAATCTAAAGTCATCACTCCTTGTCCTATCACAACAGATCCTGCCAGAAGGTTCCCCTCCAGTTCTCTTGCAGGCTCTTTAGGTACTGGAAGGCTACTATAAGATGTACCCAGAGCCTCTTGTCCAGGCTGAAAAACCCCAGCTCCATTAGGGTGTCTCCAGAGAGATGCTCCAGCCTTCTAAGCATCTTTGTGGGCCTTCTTTAGGCTCACTCCAACAGATCCATGCCTTTCCTGTGGTGAGGACCCCAGAGCTGGATGCAACACTGCAGCTGGGGTGCGACAAGAGCAGAGTACATTAGAATTCAACATGCTGGTCACTCTTTTTTTAACACAGTCCAGGATGCAGTTGGCTTTCTGGGCTGCAAGGGCAGTTCAGAAATACGTAACTCCAGAACACATTATTCATACACACTTGCGTTCAATAACATAATGTTCTCCCCTGGAAGGACAAACACCTTCAAGGCAACTGATGACATGAGTGGAATAATCATCCTCATGACTTCTGGCAGTTCTGAGTACCTCTTGCTTTCATGGCTTACAAAATGGCACACGGTTGCAACAAGCAATTGCTTCACTGCTATTTAAGTAGCTTCAGGGTGACCATGAAGACAAAGCCCTGCTGGACATCTCCAAAATTTGCCTTAAGGTGTGCCTCAGCTACTAGCCCAGGAACCCAATGGCCTGCTACCTTCCAAACATCTTCAACACAGCAACTTCTTGAGGCATTTGATGTAAATAAGCACAGCTCTCAAAAAAACAGCCTGTTTGTTGTACATCATGGCCAGGAAGCAGCTTTTTGTGTAGTGCTGACTTTCAGCTGCATCGGGTGGAAGAGCTGGTGATACAGAGAAGGCAGGATTATACAGCAAAGAGGAGGAAGGCCTGGACCACCTCTGGTGTCAGCAGCCCATCTTAGAAGAGTTTAAGCTGATACCTATGGATATGAACAAGCAGAGCAGCCTCCACTTGACAGCAACAACTGCTACAGACAGATCAGGAGAGTTTTTGCAAATGTCCTGGGCAGAGCATACAGCTCTTGGGAGATGCTGAATTCACCAGGAATTTTAGCTATCTGTTCACGGTGGCCATCAACCTAAAGGGGTTGTCATCCACACCATCTAATAAATGTATTTCTATATCTTAGGACAGGTTGTCACGGCTTTTGCTTGCTTTTACACAATGCTATATAAACAGCCTATAGTATAGGAATAACTTACATGGCCAAGAGGTGCTAAAGGCAGGAAATTCCACCCTTGTGTAATGGTTTCCTCCTTCTAGGGAGTTCACCCCAAAATGGTGCCAGAAGTGACGAGATCCATGTATGTAGGGACCAGACCCCTCAGTGAAGTCTTCTGATGAAGGAAATAGGGACTGGAGAAGTCAGTGAGCCAGGTTCCTGTCTGCACTGTTGTGACATGAGCACTCTCTGTCTGCTGCTCCATGTCCTGTACACAGTGGTCTCTTTCCTGCTGGTGGACTGACGAGAGTTTTGCCTGGCCTGACCTTTAAACAAAGAGGCGAAGGGTGACAGAACAAAGATGCTGTCAAAGACCAATCCAAACCATTGACCAGCTGTCAGTTTTGGGAGGAAGAGGCATACGGCTAAGGATGCCACACTTTATTGATCAGTGCTATCAAGAACTGCATAAAGAGAGGAAAAGTTCAAACAGCTGAGAGCAGGTGGCAAACAGCACACTATGATGGCTAGAACTGACCATGCATAGGCAGGTCTGCCAAGGGTCTCCACCTGCAGTCAATGTCATTAAGGAAACAAGAATGTTTAGATACATCAGTTGTGTCCTTTAGGGTCAGAAATTCAAGGCAGCAGTTCCAAACTTGCATACACAAGATGCCTGGCTTCCAGAAACAGCACAGTATCCCTGTTAGTGGAGGAAGGCATGCACCCAGGGGCTTTTGCTATACCCCTTTCCCTGTACACACACTGGCAGGATACAGTGGAAGATGCTCTGGGATGTGCCTCTGCTGGGCCAGATGTACCAAGGCATTAAATAAAAGTCAGTCCAGCTCTTGCAGCAAGTCACACTGGCAAAGCAGTGGTCATGTTCCAGCAGCTCTCACGTTCCCTGTGCAATCACCCTTCTAAAGTAACACATGCCCACACAGCCTCAACCTCCTTTATCAACTTAGAGGCTAAAACCTGCATTCCAGTGAGCTAGAAGTAACTACCCTCATTTTTATTTGAACCCAGGACGTGAAGAGAAGACTCTAGTCCCAGAGCCTTCAGAGCACATGAGGGTAAAGGCAGCAGAAGTATGAGGCCCCCACTTCAAGAGCCCTGCTCTCCTCAAGTGTGGAGGTCATCACCCTGTGCCCTCTGCACACCCCAGCATCCCCCTGAGATGCCAGGGACACGAGGGAAAGATGGCTGCATGCTTCAAGCTATCCCAAGTGTCACTCTTCTCTTAAGCTAAGCAGGCTCCAGCTCCAGCATCTTCACTCATCTGAAGCACCGACAAGCATCCCTGTGCACTTCTAGCTCCACAGAGGGTAATAGTAATTAATTTTGGAGCAGCTTCCAAAGGACGAGAAACAGAGCTGTGAGGTGCAGCAGAAAAGCAGAGTAATAGCCAAGTAAGGAGAGGGGGGGAAAAAATTAGAATGGTATTGTTTATTGCAGTGTAATTTATATGATCTGGGTATTTGGGAAAAGGATAAATGACACAAAGGGAAAACCTCGTGTAAGATGTACTTCTCCTTAGTCTGTTCTTGACTATTAGACGGAAGAGGCTCTATTCGTGTACTTTGCTCTCTGCCATCTTAATTCTTCTGAAGCGAAAAAGATCCTTCCATTCTTTTCCTTCAAAATATGAGCTGCTGCAGACCAGGCCACCTCATTAGCAGTAAAAGCAGTGTCTTTTTTCACCACTGTGCCCTTCTTAATCTCAGAGATGTCAGCATTCTCTTGGGATTCCTTGCTACATTCCTCAGTATTTGTCACTGCTTAATTTTTAAACCAACTGAAATAAATCTGGACATTACAAGCTTTTATATATAATATACAAGGGCATATTATGTCAATAATTTTTGGTTTTGCATCATATAGCAAATGTCCTATGTTTGCATAACTACATACATAATACACATTAACTTTAAAAAGGCCAAACTATTCACAGTTCAAGGGACTCCAACTGATCTTTTTAAAATGGATAGCAAGTGTGTATTCCATAGCAAATCAGTGTATTCCATGAATTCAGAGCTCTGCCTGCAATTTTTACAAAGATGACAAAACAGTGATATATTGGGACTGTTGGGAAGGATTGAGATTTGTTTCTAATCCATGAGAGACTGAAAATAGCTCATGCAAATGTGCAGTAGCACTTCTCAGCTAGTGACACATGAAAATCTGAAAATCAATTGCGTGAAAGTACACTGTTCGCAAAATCCCACAAACACAGGGAAAAAAAAAGTAGTAACAGAAAATCCAAATGGACATAAATTTCAGTGTGTAAAAAAGACCATTTTATTTAACATAGAATTAAAAAAAATCCAAACATGTAATAATATTTGGCAAGGTCTTAAGATATCTCATACCTCCTAAGTCAGGACACACTCTTTTTTAGATCAAAGAGCAGTATTACACATCTGTCGTCCTTGTTATACTTCACTGCTAAGATGGAAAAGATCCTAAATTGAACCTGCCCTGTAATTCACTAGTTAGCAAGAGAGAGCCTTGTTTTCTTGTGGTAAAATGTACTTTTACAGTATCCTGGGGAACTGTACCTCTGTCCTAAGCCACTTGGCACTCTGACCGTTTCTCGTCCTTACTGCAGGTACAGTGACACACCTATGGGGTCACTTCCAGCACGCCAAGTGCTTTAGCACAGGCCTTAGCCCGGCTGAACCCACCGGGGTTGTGCCTGACGCTGCTCCGCATGGCCTCACAAGACGCCATTTTCCAGCGCACTTTCTAATCTATTCTTTCTCCGCCTCCTGCTTCCCGCTGCCACCCGGGGACTTCTCGCCCAGCTGCACACGTCGTCTTTTCCCGGTCCCACTCCAGCAGCCTGGGGTGCTCCCCCTAACAATCGGCTCTCCCCCATCTGCGGTGGGGGACATACATCCCCACATCCTTCAGGCTGGCCACGGTCCGCGAAGGATGCCATAACCTCCTTCCCCCACGAGGTGCTACCCACTGAGCGCGTTTGCATCTCCCAGCCCCGTTGCTTCTCTTTTAGCTTTAAACAGCTCGGCTCAGCCCCCCGCGGCAGGGCCTCTCTCTCGGGACCTATGGCGCCGGTGACGCGAACGCTGCGGGAGCCGCGCGACTTCCCGCGGCCGCCCTCAGCACCTGCCCTCGGCCCCGCCCGGCCCAGGCGCGCGCCCGCGCCGGAGAGCGGGCGGGCGGCGCGAGGCGGGGGCGGGGCGGGGCGAGCGCCGGCGCCCCGCCCTCCCGGCCGCGTGCCCGCGCGCGCGCGCGCCCCACGCCGTGACCCATTTCGCCGAACAAAGGATTTGCGCTGGAATCTCGCTCAGCGCCGGGACCTAAAATGGCGCCGGCGCGCCCGCCCCCGCCCTTTCCGCGGGCGCCATAGAGACGGGGCGGGCGGAGCGGCCTCTCCTCGCCGCCGCTCTGTACGCGGGCGGAGCCCCGGCTCGCTGGTGTGGGCGGGAAGGTGCTGCCGCGGCATGGCGGGCGAGGGCGACTCTGAGCCGGGGAAGGTAATGGAGGACGAGGGGGGAGCGGCGAGGGGTGAGGAGGAGAATGAGGATGATGATAAGAAGGAGGAGGAGGAGGAGTTGCGTGGCACACGGCTGGCCGCGGCAGCCCCGCGCAGGGGACGCGGGAGGTCATTGCAGTGACCGTCCCCCACACCGCTCCGCCTCGCTGTTTCATCGCCCGAGGAAATAATTAGGGAACAATACACGGAAACCCACGGCAGAGCTGAGGCTCTGCAGGGCCAGGTGGGTGGGGCGGGGGTTTGTGTCCCCCCGGGCCCCTCCGTGAGACTTTCTCTTGGTGGGCGAAACTCCGTGGTGAGACTGGAGGGTTCTTGAGGCCGGTGGTGGGACACATAACAAATGATGCCCAGCCTGGCAACAGGTGAGACGCTATTTTAAAAGGATGCATCACGCTGCATGGATGTAGCAGGGGTACCTTCTTAGCCAACAACAGCAACATATCAAGTGACTTCTTCCACACGAGAGCACTTGGAATGACTCATTAGGCGATACAACCAACATAGACTGCATCCTTTCTGTCTCGCTTGTACACAGGGACAGCTGATGGCTGTCCCTAGGGAACATGGATAAAACTGACCATGGGGATTTCCATGCTTGCCATCCCAATTACTACAGTGACACAGTGACTGGTCTCACAGAGTTGCCAGCCCTCCACAAGCAGTTGTTCGTTCACTGTAGTATTCCCATCTTCAAAATCTGCTTTGACCAAATGGAATACCTTCACAACAAAATAAAACGATCACCTTTGATGAATTTTATAAAGTTGCACACATGGTTCTTCATGCTCTAATGATTTAAGCACAATAGAACAAAACGTGTTCTCACACTGTCCCTGACCAAAGGTTTGAAAGCAGAACAATGTGCAGGTGTTACTGAGGGGCAGCCACCTTGACCCTGACCCAAGTGCCCAGCCCCTGCCTAGACATAGGGTTAGGTCATAGATTAGTGGTTTGTAAATGTTTTTATTCAGTATTCAGTATAAGGTTCTCTACTACATGCTCATTCTCTAGTAACTTAACTTCTTTCAAGCATATTTGCTGTTTTGGGCACTAAAATTACATGGTATGGCTAACTGCATACTTGACTGTAACCTTCCTTGTTTGTTATGATGTAACAAAAATACTGGATTCTTAAGGGTCTTCTCCCTTCCTTTTTTGGGGAATGTAAAGATAAAAAGTGAAGTAGTTATTTTTTAATATTCAGTAGAAAGGATAGATCAACAGTTTTGTGCAAAACTATATTATGTAAATTAATAGTTAACTCTTCCAAAAACATCCCTGATATATCTGTATTTGTTCACTTTTGGTCAGCTATAACCCTGGAGGCAGTAAGTTCTCAACTGGTTATACTTGACTACTAAGAAAAAAAGTTTTACAGTGGAGTTGGCATCATAGACTTCTACAGAAGTGATTTTTTAAATTAATGGTTGGTTTTGTTTTTTTATTTTGTCTTACAGTCCTTTAAACTCCTGGGATTTCTTGATGTTCAAAATGTCCCATGTGCACGAGAATCAGTGCTCTATGGTTCCCTGGGGTCTTTAGTTATGGGTCTTGGACATTTTTTAGCAACTAGTAAGTACTTACTTCTTTTGGGTTTTATATATCTATTTGCAAGAAAAAAATAACTTCTATTTGCTGTTGGGTATTATTAATAATGAGAAGTCATACAAGTTGTTTTCTCTAACTTTCATAAGATTTTTTGCCTTTTTTTTTCAGGTAGAGTTAGAAGATCTTGTGATGTTGCAGTTGGTGGCTTTATTTGCACAATGTTAGGATACTGGTATGTAAAATGCTTCTTCAATTTTGACAGGCCTGTGTTGGCTGAATTGTAAAACATGATCCCTGTGTTTCAGTTTTCTGAAACAGTGTTTCATGTTGGCTTTGAAACCACCTTAAAAAACCTGCCTAGCAAAGTGTCTTCTTCCTTCTCCCCAAAATACTTACTGTCTTTAAAGGAAAACATTTCAATGTCTTTGAATGTTTATATTTTAAATACTTTGTATTGTTTCTTGAATCCTAAGCAATCAACCCCCCCCCCACTTATTTCCATTTTTCTTAATTCTTTTTTCCTTTGCATATCCCATTCTCGTGTCTTAATTCCAAAACCAGCATGCTGAATTTTCCTAGCATTATCACATGTGGTTGTAACTTGTCAGCTGCCTGAATGACTCTCTTTTGATACTGCCACTCATATAAAACAGGGAATTGTGTTTTCTTTTTATCCCCTCCTCTAGGTTTTACTGCAGGTACAACCTGGCCCAGCAAAGGATCCGGCAAAGAATGCTTAAAGAAGGAATGAAAAACAGAGTTTTATTTGAAGGCAGTTATCTTGATCCAGAAAAGGAACAAACGGGCAGTGAAAGAAGCGATTCATAGGTTGCTCTGGAGGAGTTGTGGTTTAATACATCTTTGGGAAAAGGCGGTCCATAAACAAGTCAGTCTACACTGCAAGCCTGTGAGGTGTCTAAAGCTGGTAAATAGTGGTTATCCTAGCAAATCTGAGCAGGAAATTCATAGTGAATCTGTTAAATCTGCACAAGCCTTGCTTTGTTTCATGTATGTATATATGTGACTGCACACATTTAGAATGATGTTAAACATCTCTGAGCTCATGTGTTCTCTTGCAGGGTCTCAGAGGATTAGTGAGACAGTGATTTGGGAGTGCTTTAACTTCCATTATAAACAGAGTGTGGTTTGTTTTAGCAAAGTTGTAATTACATCTCATTTAAATACAGGAAAATATTTCCATCACCTGTTGATGTGTATCAACAAATGTATCCTTCAGGGCTATTATTAACAGTGCTGTTTGTAGAACAGGAATATTTAAACAATAGAAGAAGGCTGTGCTTGTGCAAGATGGGTTGTATCAGCAGCCTTTGTAAGATTTCAGCTGCAGGATAACCAGATAATTTACACACACTGTGAAGCTGAAGGATTTTCATCTTTGTTCTGTCTGTTTGAAACTATGAATAAAATCACACTTCAGAGCAGTCTACACTATGTAAGTAAATAATTTTTTACTTCATTAAAAATCTTGCTACTTAAGACACTCCCCTACTCTATGTGGAATAATTTACATTATTTGTAAGTAGCAATGTTTGTTTTTTATTGTATTTTTTTCTTTAATGGCATTCTACTTAACTATTTCACTGTATGTTTTTCAGTTAAAAAGCAGTATCACTACATAATTTCAAGGAAACCATCTTATTTGGAAATACAGTGTTAGGTCTAATAGCATATTGGTAAAAAGATGAGTGATGACATCACTCGCTTCTGCCTGCATGAGTTTTCATTTTTTCATATCATGATTTATAGTCTATTGTGCTGTAAGCACTTTCTGATCTAAAGGCATTTCACCAAGCAAAAACAATCCTTTTCCCCCACCCTGTACTTTGTCTGAGAGAGTTGTTGATCTGTTATTAACTCACATTGGTGCAGGGAGGTTTGGGAATCCATATGTAAACAGCAGCATTGCTCCACTTACTTATTTGGAAATATACTTGAGAGCACTAAATAAACGTGCTATTTACACTGAGAAAATGAAACTTTTACCCTCTGTGGATTAGCCTTTTATAAGAAGAAAACAAACCTATATACTCTAATTCCTTTTTGCCCCTCTTTTCCTCATGTTTCTTCTGGAGGAAACAAAGATAAATTTTACTGGGGATATTGACTTCAATATTTTTTTAAAAAGTCTTCAGAAGAATTAATGCAATGAAATGCTTCAAGTCCTCACCACTGAGTCCAAAGTGAGAAGTTAATTGGTAGCTAATTCAGAAGGGAAAAATGTTTCCCGTGGTTCTGTGTTGGGTGGGGGGGGCAAGGGAATGGGAGGCTCCTTCTCCTTGGGGTGGGAGCTGTTGCTTCGTAAAGCCCTTGGAGCGGCAGTGGGAAACCGAGCGAGCCATTAAGCTGGTCTGTAACAAGCTCCTGTTTTAATACATGGTTGAGTTCTTTCCCATCTGACCTAAGAAAAGAAAGTGCAACCTAAGCAGGGGGTCTTTTGGCTGAAAGGTCATAGGTCAGATGGGGGTGTTTAGGCAACAAAAGCACAGGGATGAAAATTTACTCTTTGGCAAAGAGCAGTTGTAGAGAAAGAAGAGAAGGGTGTTTTGTGCTGATGGGAAAGAAGTTAGCATGTGCATAATGGCATCCTTCAAAACACACAAACACTGTGACTGCTGAGAAAATAGCAGCAGTGTTATGATGCTGTGTAAGTCAAAAAAATCTGGGCAAAATTTCAGCGCTCAATCCTCTCTGGTGTTAATTGGTGTTGGTACAAGTTACTGCATTTAAGGATATTAGCCAAATAGCAGCTTAACTACAGTTTTAGCAATAACTGTGGAATGCTAGATGTATCTGCATTGCGTAGATAAGCCATCTAATACTTCTGCTTCACTGTGCAGAGTGTAAAATGAGCATGCCAGATGTTCACAGAAAAACTGGGGAAGAGGCAATGTGCAGGCAGCCTGGCCAGCACATTGGAGCTTCAGTGTTTACTAAAACTTGAGGTGGAATTAACTACAAGTCAAGGCCTTTGTGGAATAGGGCAGGGCAGGGATATAAGATAAGGAAGCAGTGAGCAGGACTCAGTTGTTGTGAAAGGGGGGGTCTGCAACAGCAGATGGAAGAATGCTCTCGGTCAAACAGGCAGGGGGAAAGGTCTGGCATAATTCCTTAAGTGTTGGCTCCAGCTGCTTCTGTGCCAGATATGGAGAACAAATTGAAAGTGACTGATGGGTTACCCCAATTAAAGAGTGAGAGACAGGATAAAACAAAAAAAAAATCTCAAAGCTACTAGTTGTCATAAATTAGGATACATTGACAAGAAAACAAAAATTTCTGTTACTTAAGTAACTGTAACATTTGAAAACAATGATGTAGCTATTTTTTTAAAATTAGTGAGTTGTATCCCTATTTATCTGTTACTGCTAATTTCCTAAGTTTCAACTCATGGGTGGAAATACGGAGCACACCTCTGTGTTTTATTACCAAACTTGAAATGTACAAGTATTGCAGCTAATGACAGATATGATAGTGTTTGCTTTGCTTTGCCTAAATTAAAACTTACCAGACAGTTACTAGGAAGGAAAAGAAATAGTAATTTTGAAGATGTTTGGTTTTCAGCCCCCTCAGAATAAACCATAAAAAGGGAGAGAATAAAGTGTAGCAACTTTGAAACTGTAAGGTGTTAAAACCCCGTTTATTTTACTGACAACAATGTTACTTGGTCACTGAACAGTGACAGACAAGCAGTTAAGTTTTTATCCCTGAAGTTAGTGAAATCCTTCCTTTAAGCAACCTAAACCACCAGCAAAATCAAGAGACGGGTTTATGGCCCCATTGCTCCTCCACTCCTTTCTCTTCCTGTTCCCCACCGTAGTGATACTCTGGGAAAAGATGTTTGCAGCCTCCTCCAGCAGGAACCCACATTTGGGACCCCAGCAGTGGCCAGAGGCCACTTGTGCAAGGTGTATCCTGCAGGTCCTTCGAGAAGGGAAGTTGCTGTGGAGACTGAAACATTGAGATCTAAGGTTAATTGTCAGCCCCATTCCCAGAGCTCCGTGTGATCAGGTGGCCTCTGCTCTTCGGTGCCTCTCACAGAAGCAAATGTCCTTCTTCAGCCATTGACAGATGCAATATGCTCGAAACTCAGAAAACTTTCTGAAGGTGACAGCAGAGGCAATTATAGTTGTTATCCCAAACTTGTCATTTATCTCTTTACCCAAGCAGAGGTTTTTAGGGAGGTAGTGGGAGATATCACTGCATTTTGCAGGCTTCCAGACTCTCTGTGTGTCACCACCCACCCCAAGTCCTCAAGTGCTGCAAAGGAAAGGTCATCTGTCACTGAGCCTGGCTTTTTATTTGGGTCTGGAGGAAGTATGTTTGTTATTTTTGGTATAAGCAATCCAGGTAACAATGAAGTACTGTGTGAATTGAGCTGCAATGAGCTCCCAAGCAAAAGATTTTCTCCAGCTTAGTAGACTAATTCCCGTACTTCTCTTGTTCCTATCCAGACATTCAGCTCAAGAGCTCAGTACCCATGAAAGTTGTTCGCTTGCTCTATATAACTCTTGAAACAAATATGTTGTTCTTGCCTTGGAAAACTGATCAAAACAAAGTTTTACAGTATATTCAGATGCTCAAGAAGGTGATCCCTTGATTTTTTTTTCCTTGAGTGAAAAACCAAGAACTAAATCCGTATCAGAAGTGGAACTGAGGTTTAGTTAATGTGACTCAAGGCCTTAGAGCAGGTAACTTTCTTACACTTAAAATTAAAATGTTACATTAAGAACATGCAGCTCCTAAACCTTCAAATGGTGGTGGAGGAGGAGGCTAATGAGAGGTAGAACCTGGGATGACACAGTTTGAGCAAAACACAGACTTTTGTTCATGGCTAACAGCACCCTGACTAAAGGTAGCTCCCCTCTTTTTCACACAGTCCTTTGGTTTTTTTCTGCTTGAGTTCATAGTTTGCCTGAGAGCCATCCAGCAGGGGGTCTGCCTGTTCCTGTGAGAATAGGTCACAGCATCCTTATGTCTGCTTGTTTTCAAGATTAAGAGCAGTTTGTTCTGAGGCTATTTTAATCCTGCCAGCTTCTGTCATCTATCATGAGCAAGAGTGCTTCAAAACCCTCAGCCCTCCTGAACATGTCAGGAGCCCTCTGGCAGTACCTAAAATGTACCATGGGAGTGGATGATTACCACTGCAGGGATCTTTCTCTTTTAACTGGCCACAGCTCAAAAAATACCCGGATTGTGGTGATCTATTTAACAGAAACAAAGATTCCTCTTTTTCCTGCTCTGGAGAGAAGGAAGCACATGCTTTGCATATTTTTTAAACTCCTTGTTTATTTTGTCAAATGCGGTAACAAAGAGCAGCAGGTGTGCTCTCAGCCAATGTGAGCTTTCCCCCTAGACAACAGATCCTCATCTCTGCTCTTGGTGGCAAATGGCTTGTGGTAACTCTGGTGCTCCCGTGTGTTTTTATCCATGACACATCTTGGCCTTCAATCCTGCATATACATGCAGGGCAGGTCTTTGGGGTTTATTTACAAGCTTTACAACACTGGCTGATATTCATGCTTTCTGTCATCCAGGTCAAGAGTTCTTACCACCTTTACCTTTGCCAGGTGGCCACAGGGAGAGATCTTTCTCCACCATGTCATCACTGTGACACTGCATAGATTCTGTGGAAACAGGATGAGAGATGCACGAAGCCCACCTTCCCATTGCACTTTGTTATATTACTTAAGCAATTAAAGGGAAACTAATACCCCTCCTTTTGTTCAGGCTCTGGCTGAGATAGTGGCAATATCTCTGAAGATGAAAAGCCAATAACAGGTTTGTTATTGGGCTGATACATTACCACAAATGGCTGTTGCAGGAGTCCTTCACAGAGCAAATACAAAGCAAAAAAAAAAAAATTCTAACAACCTGTTCCTCAAAATAAAGGGGAAAATACCCTATTCAGACCCCCAAAAGAAATCAGGAGCTACCAGTGATTGTTACAGGCTGTGCATATAATGCTTTCATCCAATATTTAAAGCCCTTGAGGGCTGTCCTGAGGCAGCACTGGGAGGCCATGACAGAACTTGCTTAACTTGGTTTCTTAGCTCTGATAGTATCCCAGTGTCGTATTCTTCCCTTACTGCCTACTGAGACTCCCAGATGGATAAAAAGAGCTCAGCTTTTTCTTCCCAAACCTCACAAGGTCCTGTTGAACCAGTACTGTAGAGGGCTTCTTACCCCCACTAACAAGCACAACGGCCCCTCTCCTTCCCAAAAGCCAGTCAGCATTAATTTCTACTCCAAAATGTTTCTATCACCATTCATCCTTCTGCTGGGAACAATATACCTCAGTCTGTACATCTCTGTCACCCACACCTGTGCTCTCAAAGGGACTTATCTCGAGAGCACCTAAGTGGGTCACAGAGTGGTCACCTACCAGATGGCCAGGAAGCCGCTCCCTCGGAGCACTGCTGCGTTCCAGCAGAGCCAGGGATCCCCCGGCACACAAGCGGCACGCAGCTCCCCACGCTTCAGGAATGCTGTGAATGCCACAAACCGCAGCTCTGTGCGAAGTCACACACTCCTGGTATGGCACCAAAACGAACAAAATTCGGAGGGGTTCGGATACTGATATAGCAGTAGCACCGTCCGTCTACTGACGGCCTCCTGTGGGATCCATGCTAATTGGAATACAGCCACCATTTAAGGAGGAGCCCATGCACTCCCTTCCCCCACCAGCCCTTCAGTTGCTTTCAGCACTGTAATCTTCCCTGGTTTGTTCTGGAACTAGAGAAGGATGCTTGTACTTGGTAAATCATGCACCTTTCAAGGCAGTAAGTACCTATAAAACCAAGATCATTCCTGAAAACTTTTCTTCATTGTCTGCATGAGGATCTGCTGAAAGAAACGGTTGGAGTCTCTCGTTTCCCTTATGCGGGTGTTTCCTTAAAGGAAAAAAATAAAAAGGAACTGGCCGGCTGCCAGGCGGTGGAGGCACATAAATATCCCGGGGCTGTGCCAACGCAGACGCTGAAGCAGCAGCAGCAGCAGCAGCAGCCCCCTCCCAGGAATGTCCG